CGGTGGCGCGGGCGAGCGCCCACATTAGGAAACCGCGCGGGCGTGTCGGGCAGAGTCGCAGGCGCCCAGGCGGCGGGGAGGGCACCAGCCCTGCTTAGCCTCGCAATGGGCATTGTCCACAATGCAAATCCTGCTTGGTGCGTCTTCAAAAACGAACGGTTTCCCGCGGTTTTCTTCGGGTTCCCAGCGGTTTCCGTAAGGTTTCCAGCAGTTTCCGCTGCTTTCCTCGTGCGCTTTATTTCCAAAGCGGCATCAGAATAGCGCCCGTCGATCTTCCAGACGAAGCGGTCAGTATTCGACGGAAGTCCCACCGGATCCCTGGCGGTTGCCACAAGTCCCCGCGCGCGCCGAGCCGTGCAAAGGCGAGTGTCCTGCCCAACAAAATTGCACCGCTAACGACACTTGCACCGCTGCCATCCCCGCCGCCATCCTCATCGTCACCAACATGTTCCCGTCGCCGCATCCGCCCTATTCACCACTATCGCGATCACCACGCTCAGCGTTACTAGCCCAAGGACGCATTATAAATCGAAAGCCCAATTTCATGAGGTCCCCAGGAGGCCTGCACAGGCTCCCAAGAGCACACCCCCCCACGAGGCCTTCAACATGCACCAAGCACGTAGCCCCGTAACATACCCGAAGACAACAGACCTCCAAAACCCTCGCAATGCCCCTTGGATCACCGGAAACGCCCAGATGGCGTCCAATACGGCTAATCGGAGGCTCAACTTGGAACACCCCACACGCACGTCGTGCCGCACGTGTACCTGGAAATTCTCAGTTCGCCTCCGAATCGGCTGACCACCCATCCCACCACATCGCGCGAACGTTTCGAGATTTTCCTCACTGAGGCCCGCCGTAACTGAAGTTCTGCTTGCTTCATGAAGGAGTCGGCGGGTGTGGAGCAAGCCTGTTGAATCGGCGCTTCTCATCGGCTACCACACGCGTGCGGCGAATGCACTCTAAAGACAGAACTTCGAGGACACGCCAGGCTGCTAGGAGTTGCTACCCACACTTTTCCATGCGGCAGCTCCAGCGGACGCCGGCGCGAGGCTCGGAACCGGCGGGGCGCGCCGGGCGCGGGGTGCGACCGACGAGCGAGTGGAAAAGCCAAGGGCGGCCGCGGAGGAGGACAGGAGAGGAGGCTCGACCACCGAGAATCGAGTTGCTACCGAAACACAGTGTGGTCACCGCACCGTCTCTTGGCTCCCGAGGTGGGGCAAGCACGAATACGCCGTACGCCGCCGCACAGGGGCGTCCAGCGCCCCCCGCCGCAGCCCAGCAGCGTCGTCGCAGGGGGGGGCTCTACTTGCTCTCGGTGGTATTGATGATGCTGATGTTGATGTTGTTGACGATGTTTGTCATGAAATTGATGATGGTGGTGATGACATGTTGGCCAAAATCATGATCATCATCATCATCATCATCATCATCATCATCATCATCATCACCATCATCATCATCATCATCAGCATCATCATCATCACCACCACCACCATCATCATCATCATCATCATCATCAGTATCATCATCCTCATCATCATCGTCATCATCATCGTCATCCTCATCATCGTCATCATCATCATCAATATCATCCTCATCATCCTCATCATCATTGGTATCACCATCATCACCACCACCATCATACCAATAATCATCATCATCATCATCCTCATCCTCATCATCATCATCATCAGCATCAGCATCATCATCATCATTAGCAGCAGCAGCGCATCATCATCATCATCACTATCGTCATCATCATCATCATCATCATCATCATCATCATCACCACCACCATCCTCCTCCTCATCAGTATCATCGACATCAGGACCATCACCATCACCAAGCACCGTCATCATCATCACCATCATTTCAGATCATCCACATCATCAGCATCAGCATCCTCGTGATCAGCATCATCATCACCATCACAATCAACAACAACAACGACAACATCATTAGCATGAACATCATTAACAGCACAATCCCTATCAACATCAATATCAACGTCAGCAGTATAATCCCGTCATTAACATAATCATCCTCACTATTACAACCCAACACCATCATCATCATCATCATCATCATCATCATCAACAACATCATCATACTCAGCATCAGCATTATCATCATCACCACCACCACTAATATTACCATCACCATCACGATCACCATCATTGTCATCGTCATCGTCATCGTCATCTGCAACCTCATCGTCATCATCATTACCACCACCACCACCACCACCATCATCATCATCATCATCACCACCACCACCATCCTCATCATCATCATCATCAACACCAGAGCCATCACCATCACCCAGGATCATCATCATCACCATCAGTTCAGCATAATCAACATCATCAGTAGCAGCATCATCAGCGTCATTATCACCATCACAATCAACAACAGCAGCAGCAACAACATTATCATAAACAACATCAACATCAAGATCACTATCAACATGAACATCAACGTCAGCAGCAGGAGAATCCCGTCATCAACATCATCAACCTCATGAATTGTCAACATCATACCCATCATGTTCACCATTATCATCACCCAACACCATCATCATCAACATAATCAGAATCAACATCAGCAACATTATCACAACCACCATCACCATCACCATCACCATCACTGTCATCGTCATCGCCATCGTCATCTGCAGCCTCATCGTCATCATCATCATCACCACCAACACCACCATCATCATCATCACCACCACCACCATCCTCATCATCATCATTATCATCATCATCACCATCACCATTATCATCATCACCATCACCATCACCATCACCATCATCATCATCATCAGCATCATCATCATCATCATCATCATCGTCATCATCATCAGCATCATCATCATCATCATCATCATCATCATCATCATCACGTATTCCGTCGGTTTCCAGTCATGGCACCTCCTCGGCAGACCGCGCACTGGGCCGGTGTCGAAGGGGGGCCAGCGCCGATCCAAGTAATCCGCGCGGAGCTCCGAAAGATATGCTGTCTTCCTTCTTCGAGAAACGGCACATCGACGCTTTCCTGGCGGCGCATCGGAGCAAGGGATGCCGAGATGATGGTGCGGGCGCTTTTGTTGGGCGTGTCAGATAAAGCTGCGTTAAGCTTTTCAGAGATCTCCAGGGCTGCCCCAAACAGCTGCGGTTCGTCAAGAGCCCTCCGGGGGGCCCGCGACCGCCCGAATTGGTACGCTCCCAGCCGAGCTAAAGCCAGACGTCGTCAGTCGTGACGACCTGTGGGCTGGCTTTTGACACCGCATGTAACGTTCGACCTCTAACGCTCGCAGCCTTCCGATACCGCAGACCCCTTGACATCGCCCGATGCTGGCTACTGCCTTCAACGCCCGCGCCGGGGTCGCCACCGTGTCGACGCGGCACAAGCCTGCCGTGCTTGCCCTTGCATTTGCCTACGTACCTCCCCGTTCGCGGACCATCTCCCTTGTGGGCTCTCCGCGGAGCCCTGGAAGGCCCATTCCTGGCCCCCAGACCGCCGACGTCGTGATTTGTTCACAGCGTCGACCCCAAGAGGTCTTCCAACTTTCCCTCCGCCCGAACCCAAGCCCGAAACTTTACTTCCTTGTTCTGGAATGACCGCCTGTGCCTCCCTCAGCTAATAACGAGCATAGGGGGGGCAACGTGGGGATTGACTATCGGAGGCTTTCTTTTCCTGATATGACCGCCTGTGCCTCCCTCAGCTAATAATCAGCATAGGGGGGCATCGTGGGGATTGACTATCGGGGGCTTATCGCCAGTCTGTCGGCGATGTGTCGCCGCTTCCAGGTCGATGTTTCCCCCCCTGTGCCAGTCCCCCAGACCCCCGGCGTCGTGATTTTGGTCACAACGTCGACCCCCCAAGGTTTCGACCCCTTCCTCAGGGCCGGTTTTTCATCCTGACTCGTTTTGTTGACGGTCCCGAGGCCCGGTGAGGGCCCCCCGGAGGCCGAAAATAGCAAAAGGTCTCCCGTCGCGATCTGTTTCGCAACGCGAGGGGGTCTGGGCCTGGGAGCCTTCCAGCTGGCTCCGCACCACGAGATGAGCTGCAGGCGTCGCGACCTCCCCGTGGCACCAAGAGGGCTGGATCGGAGAGGCACCCTGGGGCGTGGGGGCCCACGGCCTCTCTGCGCGGAGCCCGCGGCGGGTGCCCGGCTCCGAGCTCCCGCTGCCCCGAGCCTGCAGGCGGCGCGGCCCACCGCGGCAGAGCAGAAGCCCACAGGCACGCGGCTTCCAGAAGCACGAGAACGGGTGCCGTCACGCGGCCGGAGACTGCGGCGCAAGGGCGAGCAGCAGCGCTGACTTCGACTGTGGTGCTGGCACTGCTCGTGGCAGCCAGGCGGGCGTGATAGTTTCAAGCGCCTCCGGCTGGAAACGGGCAGTGTCTGGCTGCATCCACGCCCAAACGCACATTCGCCCACCAACGCGGACCTGCTGCCATGAACATTTGCGATGCGAAAATGCAGATCGCCCTTGCCTGGCAACTCATGCATCCGACATGCTCGCGCCATCAGAAACGATGGTGACCAGCAAGGCGACGCTAAGAGTGGGACAAGGTCCCCTGCAACTGCGAAGCCCCGAATTCGACACCCCTCCGCCTCCCCACCCCGTGAGCTCCGAGCCCCCTGCTGGCCCCCTGCTGGCCCCCTGAGGCCACGGCAGCTCAAACTCGGCCCCCGGATCCCTGCCAGGGTCCAGACGCACAGGCTTGCCGAGCTGCGTCCGGCCGTGGCGACGAGGCCCTTCCCCCCCCGATCTCCTCGCCGTGGGCACCAAGAGGTATCGATGCCCCTGCTGACCCCTGACCTCTCCTGGGGTGCGTTCTGACCAGAATCTCGAGGCGGATCCAGCCGTGGCGACGAGGGCCTCCGAGGAAGCCCAGAGAGGGCGAAAACGAGGGAGGAGCAGCAGTATCGGGGCGTGTTCCTTCTCTGAATAATCACCCTCCTTCGCCTGCACACCATCCCCGTGATCCCTGGATGGAATACGGCTTTACGAACAGCGCGATCATGATACTGCAGCCTCACCGCGCACCGCGCGAGGACGGCAGCGGCTGCAGAGGCAGCTGGCCTCGCATCGGGGCACGAAATCGAATCGGAACGGACGTCGGATCGGGCTGCACTGACACGGAGTCGGAATACAGGCAGTTCGTCGAATCCAGGCCCAGTCCGAGGTCGAAAAGGGCTCGGTGGTTCCTCAGGTTTGCCTGCGCTCCGTCGTTATCACGGTGGCGAGCCCATGCGGTGCTCCTTCGGATTTTACGGCCGTTCCCTCGGATTGCACGGCTCGACTTGGAGAAAAAGAGACCTCGATCCTTATCAATCACTCCTCCTTACTTCAGCAGCCCGACTTTATGATCAGGTTGGGCATGTCCTCCCACAGACGGGATTTCGACAAACAAAAAGAATCACCCGATACTCCAATATAGTCAAACATGGTAGAGGATTCGATGTACGAATATTCCTCCTGTAGAGGCACGTGCCCGATTTACCTTTATGATCGAGCATGGTTGCGCCAGCGCCTGCAATTCCACGCTCGCACTTCGCCCGGCGAGAGTCGCCCTGCCGCAGGGTGGCAGGATGGTCCCTGCAGGCTTCTGCCTGCCAGAGGCTTCTTGATGCCCGCTTGCACGGCTCTCCCCCTCCTCCTCCTCCTCCTCCTCCTCCTCCCTCCTCCTCCTCCTCCTCCTCCTCCTGCTCCTCCTCTCCTCCTCCTCCTCCCTCCTCCTCCTCCTCCTCCTCCTCCTCCTCCTCCTCCTCTCCCTCCTCCTCCTGCCTCTCCTCCTCCTCCTCCTCCTCCTCCTCCTCCTCCTCCTCCTCCTCTCCTCCTCCTCCTCCTCCTCCTCCTCCTCCTCCTCCTCCTCCTCCTCCTCCTCCTCCTCCTCCTCCTCCTCCTCCTGCTCCTCATCCTCCTCCTCCTCAGGGAGGGAGGAGTGGGAGGAACGGCGAGCGAAGACCCGATCCGCAGAGGCGCCATGCGCTCGGGGCGGGGGCTGGGCGCGTGGCGCCGTCGGGCTGCAGAAACCGCCCCCCACCCAGACGCCCAGCGCATCGTCGAAGTTCAAGGCGGAAGGGTCCCGTCGATTTGCCTCGCTGGGCCCCAGAACGGTCCAAGAAGGATCCGGGACGAAAGACTCGTCCCTGGGGAGCTCCGGGGGGCCCCGCATTGATAAATTACACTGGGGTCTGACGTCGGAAAAACCATTTCAACCTCGCGAAAAATCACGACCGGAGCTCTAGACCCCGTCTTTCGGCGCCATTTTTCGAGTAGGGTCGATCCCGCTGTGAAAAAAAAGCACCTCGGATCTGAGGGCACGACATCTCGGAAACTGGAGCATATACACTACCAGTGGCGGGCCGTTTTTCAATCCCAGGACTTTTCGAGGGTCGGGGACGTCGTCGGGGTGGTGTGGTGTATACTTGTTTCCTCGTTGTCCCTGGGAAACAACGAAAATGCATAGAGTTATGTTGCTCTCATCGTGCTCAAGGACGATATCCCAGAAATGATTTCGAACAGGGAGAAAAGTATCAAAACAGTGTCGAACGAGTATCGCCTCCCGGGGTCCGACACGTGAAAACCCTCAAGGTTCGGTGCTTGCTTGGTGCTCGAAATTCTTTCTGGCGATCAAGGCGAAAACAGGTCGGAACATCATTTGAGCAGGGACCGACCGTCCGGCATTCCTATAGGCCTACCACGAAAAGTTCTTAGAACCCAAAAATGTTCTAAGAACAAAAACAATGTTCTTAGAACATAAGCCCGGTGTGATGAAAGAGATAGTCCCAGCCAGAAATGTCCTAAGAACATTCCGTGGAAACCACAAAAAGGTTCTTAGAACATCGCTTGGTAGGCCTACAGGCGAGCCAGGACGCTGCGCCACTGCTTGAATCCTGAAAGTATAGAGCTCGGCTCCTTACTGTCGTCACCCTCCCCTGCAGTCCTGCCCGCTCATCCCCTCTCTCCTGCGGGCCTGGCCGCGCACCTCCCCCCCCTCCCGGAGGCGGGCGGCGGCGCCTCCGCACCCATCCGAGGGAGGGCAGGAGCGCAGGGCGCAGTGGCAGGTCGCGGAGACCCCTCGACTTATGTTGTTCCCATCGCACTTCAGGACCACATCCCAGAAATAATTCCGAGCACCCAGAAAACTCCTCCTCCTCCTCATCCTCCTCACCCCCCCCTTGCTCCCCTCCTCTTGCTCCTCCTCTACCTCCTCCTCCTCCTCCTCCTCCTCCTCCTCCTCCTCCTCCTCCTCCTCCTCCTCCTCCTCCTCCTCCTCACCCTCGTTTTCATCTTCGTCGTCTTCAGGGTCGGCGGCACCGGCCGTAAGGCCTTCGCAATAATTTCGAGCACCCAGAAAAGTGTCGAGACCGCGTCGAACGAGTATCGCCTCCCAGGGCCCGACCCGTGAAAGCCCTCAAGGTTCGGCACCTTCCTGGTGCTACGAGATTATTTCTGGTGAGCAAGGCGAGAGCAGGTTGGACCATCATAACCCTCGACATGGGCCCGTGCTTTCTGCTTCGCGACAACGCCCGTGGCCGGCCCCGCCCCCCCACCCCCCCCTGGGCGAGCGACGAACGACATAAACAGAAAAATTCGGACGTCCGCGCGGACTTCTCGGATCGGCACTGGACCCCCCCCCTGGCTTGCGGAGCGCGCCAGGGGCAGCGCCGGAGGCGCCGCCAGGGGTGTCCAGCGCGGATCCCAGAAATCCGTGCAGACCTCCGAGTTTCCTCGTTCCACTTCCCCTCGTTCTCCATGTGTATGTCATTCCTCGTTCCCTTACCCCCCCGTCCCCTCCCCCGCCGGTCACGTGTCAAGATTCGCGCCGGTGCCGTCTGGGAATCAGCCATTCCTGAGCATTCCCAGACGGCACTGGCGCGGATCGTGACGCCCGTGATCGCCATGGGATCAAAAAAGCTAAATCCATGCGACGTCTTGGTGTTTCCACCGCGGGCCCCCCAAAAGTCGCGACCCTTTCCCCAGGGCCGGCATTTCACCCGGAATCGTTTTGTTGACGGTCGCGGGGCTTGGCGAGGGCCCTGGAGGCCGAAAACGGCCAACAACTTCCCCTCCTCATTTTGCTCACGACGCAAGCATGCCTGGGCCACGACGACGAGGGGAAGGACGACTTTGGCCCGCGGCGGCGAGTCGCCGCCGCGGACCGCGTCGTGGCTGTTCTCATGTTGCTACGACGCGAGCGTGTCCGGGGGAGGGTCGCCCCTCCCGCAGGGTCTCCGCCCTCGGCGCAGGAAGCTCCACAGGGGCGCCGCCCGCTCGAGGGGGGGGGGGGGGGGCCGAGCGGAACAGGGCGGCGGCCGGAGGGCGAGGGGGGTATAAAAGAGGAGGGACATGATAGGCCTATTTTCCATCATCACTACCATAGGTTGGACGGGGGAGCAGGGAGGATTGGGACCTCCTCCTCCTCCTCCTCCTCCTCCTCCTCCTCCTCCTCCTCCTCCTCCTCCTCCTCCTCCTCCTACCTATGGTAGTGGTGGTGGGAAATCGGCTCATCAGGACAGGAGCGCAGGGCGGGGCGCGGAGCGACGGGAGAGGCAGGGCGGAAGCCGGGGCCGGGGGAAACGGACTGCTGGACTCTCAGCCGCGCGCTTTCTGGAGTCTTCGTGGTCTCCTGGAGGGCGCCGTGCCTCGGGATGCGCCCCAGCAGCTGCGCCTCGCTGAGAGCGTTCTCTGGGGGTGCCCGGATCGCCCCGAACGGCCGCCGGAGGCCAGAGCTATGGCCCGAGAACCGAGTAGCCACTCAGGGGCGGGGAGCGGGAGGAGTGGGATGGCGCGAGCGGGGAGATGCGCAGAGCGGGATGGGGCGGGACAGCGCGACGAGCGCGCGGAACGGGGAGGGCCCCAAGGGGGAGTGCGGGGGATCGTGACTGGCTGCGCCGCTGTCAGGCGGGGGCGCGTCTTGTACGGCTTCGAACCAAAGTCCAGGTCGAACCAGATCATGCGCCTCGCAGCACCCGCCAACCCTCTCTGCTGCCAGGGGGGCCCGCTCCCAGCCCTCCTGTGCGGATTTGGGCACTCGCTTTGAATGCGCAGCGCCGCGCGCCTCCTCCTCCTCCTCCTCCTCCTCCTCCTCCTCCTCCTCCTCCTCCTCCTCCTCCTCCTCCTCCTCCTCCTCCTCCTCCTCCTCCTCCTCCTCCTCCTCCTCCTCCTCCTCCTCCTCCTCCTCCTCCTCCTCCTCCTCCTCCTCCTCCTCCTCCTCCTCCTCCTCCTCCTCCTCCTCCTCATCCCCTCCTCCTCCTCCTCCTCCTCCTCCTCCTCCTCCTCCTCCTCCTCCTCCATCCTCCTCCTCCTCCTCCTCCTCCTCACTCCTCCTCCTCCTCCTCCGCCTCCTCCTCCTCCTCCTCCTCCCTCCTCCTCCTCCTCCTCCTCCTCCTCCCCTCCTCCTCTCCTCCTCCTCCTCCTCCTACCTCCTCCTCCTCCTCCCTCCTCCTCCTCCTCCTCTCCTCCTCCTCCTCCTCCTCCTCCTCCTCCTCCTCCTCCTCCTCCTCCTCCTCCTCCTCCTCCTCCTCCTCCTCCTCCTCCTCCTCCTCCTCCTCCTCCTCCTCCTCCTCCTCCTCCTCCTCCTCCTCCTCCTCCTCCTCCTCCTCCTCTCCTCCTCCTCCTCCTCCTCCTCCTCCTCCCTCCTCCTCCTCCTCCTCCTCCTCCTCCTCCCCCTCCTCCTCCTACCTCTCACCCTCCTCTCTCCTCCCTCCTCCTCCTCTCCTCCTCCTCCTCCTCCTCCTCCTCTCCCTCCCTCCCTCCCTCCCTCTCCCTCCCTCCCTCCCCCCTCCCTCCCTCCCCCTCCCTCCCCCCTCCCTCCCCCCCTCCCTCCCCCTCCCGTGCCAGCGACCAGAACCACATACCGGACACAGCCTCTTGGGCCTCTTTGGGTCCTGGAGCCTCCTGAAGCCTCCTGGGGCCTCCAAGTGCTTCTGGGGCTTCCTGGGGCCTCCTGGGCCTCCTGGGCCTCTTGGGGCCTCCTGGGGCCTCCTGGGGCCTCCTGAGGCCTCATGTGGTTTCCTGGGGCGTCCCGGGGCCTCCTAGGGCCTCCTGGGGCTTCCTGGGACCACCTGGGGCTTCATAGGACATCCTAAGATTTCCTTCCCAGAGGCCTCCAAGAGGCTCCCAAAATACCCCCAAGAGGCCCCAAGAGCCTCCCCGAGGCACCCAATACGGTCCAAGAGGCCTCCAGGACCGCCATGAGGCCCCCAAGACGTCCCAAGAGGCGTCCAAGAAGTTCCCAAGATACATCAGAAGAAACTCCGAGAGGCATCCAAGAGGCCTCGGGCCATTTTGCTCGCTGGTTTCCTCCCCTTCTTCCGCCTACTGTTCCTCGTCTTCCTCCTCCTCCTCCTCCTCCTCCTCCTCCTCCAATTCCTCCTCCACCATCCCCCTTTTGGGGTAAGACGGTTTCCCCAACCCTATGTTACTCTGTATGCTCCCTCACTTCCCTGGTCACCTCAATTCGCCTGGGCATCGTTTATGCATGGGCTGGCGGGGATACGCGTAGCGTCAAGAATTCTGAAGGTCGCGCCGCGAAGTCAGGGGCATTTGGGGTAAGACGGTTTCCCCAACCCTTTGTTACTCTGTATGCTCCCTCACTTCCCTGGTCACCTCAATTCGCCTGGGCATCGTTTATGCATGGGCTGGCGGGGATACGCGTAGCGTCAAGAATTATGAAGGTCGCGCCGCGAAGTCAGGGGCATAGCATACTCACACATCGTACACACGACATGTCAACAGTATGTGCGCCTGCACAAAGATAAACACACACACGCACACATTGCGGTTACAATATCTGATTATATGTGTGTACATATATTTATGACAATACATATGTGGATATATAGATATATGTATATATAATATACATATACATATACATATACATACATTAATAGTAATGTATGTTTTTGGATGTATACATATATTTACATAGGCTTCACCCACATCGATTCACAATCATGCATACGCCCATATACATACACCTGTGTTTGTATGGCTTGATACACAAACACACACACTTTTGTTTATATGTATATATTCGTTGGCACATGTTGAGCAAGACAGAATGTGAATAACTATATATATATACGTGTATATATATATATATTGTGTGTTCTATCCATGTGTCTATATGTCAACGCATGTACCTTGATATACATATCGTGTTCTTCTAAACCTGTTCACAATCATACATATACCCATCTATATACACAGTTGTATGGTTTGGTACACACACACTCAGATACTGCGATATATGATTTTGGTCATGTTGAGCATGCAAGCGCAAGTTCACACAAGCATAGCTACATACATTCATACGTGTACGCCTGGACTGCACATACACGCCTCGCCACGGGAACGGTCAGAATTCCAAGATCCATGGACGATATGTCACCGTCTCGACCTCTCTCACCACCTGGGAGGGCCATACGCCCCGAGGAACAAACCCACGCACCGATTAAGTTTGAGACGAAACGCGTGCTCGTAGCTGTCCTGGGCTTCTCTGGGCAGATCCTGGCGATCTCTGGGCACTGAAAATAAGTGAACCGACGGCTCTCTGAACAAGCAGGTCTTGGTTCACTTATTTGGGCGGCCCATGGGCGCATCCGCCCCCGCCCCCCGGGCCGTCTCGGAGCGCCCCGGGGCCCTCCCTGGGGCTTCTCCGCAGCTGTCTGCGCTGTTCTGAGCAGATTCCGGAGGCCTCTGGGCATCGAAAATAAGTGAACCGACGGCCCTCTGAACAAGCAAGTCTGGGTTCACTTATTTGGGTGGCTTATGGGCGCGTCCGCCCCCTCACCCAGGGCAGTCTCGGGGCGCCCTGAGGCCCTCTCTTGAAGCTCCCCGCAGCTGTCCTGGGCAGTCCTGGCAGATCCCGGGGACTTCGGGTCACTTAACATAAGTGAACCGACGGCCCTCTGAACAAGCAGGTCTTGGTTCACTTATTTGGGCGGCCCATGAGCGCATCCGCCCCCTCGCCCAGGGCCGTCTCGGGGCGCCCCGGGGACCTCTCCGGGACTTCTCCGCAGCTGTCGCGGGCTGTTCTGGGCAGATTCCGGGGGCCTCTGGGCATCGAAAATAAGTGAACCGACGGCCCTCTGAACGAGCAGGTCTTGGTTCACTTATTTGGGTGGCTTATGGGCGCGTCCGCCCCCTCGCCTAGGGCCGTCTCGGGGCGCCTTGAGGCCCTCTCTTGAAGCTTCCCGCAGCTGTCCTGGGCCGTTCTGGCAGATCCTTGTGACTTCTGGGCGCTAACGCACTTCGAGGTTCTGGGCTTTTTGGGGTTTCCCGACGCCGCGCGGTTCCTTTTGGGACCTCCAGGTTTCCCTTGGCACTTCCAGTGCTCTCTCGGAGCTTCCGAACCACGATGGCGCGCGAGGGCTTCCTGGCCCCTCCGGGCCCCAGAGCAGCAACGACAGAACAGGATTGGCTCAAGACTCGCGCGCGGCCTGCCGCGCGTATCCCGACGCTTCCTTCACGCCGCGCGCAGGCGCGCGATGTCGGGCACGCCCGCTTCCCCGCCGTCCACCAAGGGCAACGGCATGGTACCGCCGCCAAAGCCGCCTCCCCAGGCTTTGGCGGCTCACGCCCCAGCGGGCACGGCGCCCGCGCCGAAGCCTCCCCTGGAGGCTTGGGGCCACACCTCTGAGGGCAAGGCGCCGCCGCCGACGATCAGGAAACCAGGGACCCTCAAAGTTTCAAAACTTTTAAAAGTTTTAAAAGTTATTTAAAAAACAGTTAGGCGCCCCAAAACTTTTAAAACTTTTAAGCGTTTTAAAACTTTTGAAAATCCCTGGACCCTGGATTCCCAGATCTCCAGGATCCCCCGACGATCAGGAAACCAGGGATCCCCAAAGTTTCAAAACTGTTAAAAGTTTTAAAAGTTTGAAAGGTTCTAGGCGCCCTAAAACTTTTAAAACTTTTGAAAGTTGTAAAACTTTTGAAAATCCCTGGGCCCTGGATTCCCCGATCTCCAGGATCCCCCGACGATCAGGAAACCAGGGATCCCCAAAGTTTCAAAACTGGTAAAAGTTTCAAAAACGTTTTGGAAAGTTTAGGCGCCCTGAAACTTTTTAAAACTTTTAAGCGTTTTAAAATTTTTGAAAATCCCTGGACCCTGGATTCCCAGATCTCCAGGATCCCCCGACGATCAGGAAACAAGGGATCCCCAAAGTTTCAAAACTGTTAAAAGTTTTAAAAGTTTGAAAAGTTCTAGGCGCCCTAAAACTTTTAAAACTTTTGAAAGTTGTAAAATGTTTGAAACTTGTTGGACCCTGGATTCCCCGATCTCCAGGATCCCCCGACGATCAGGAAATCAGGGATCCCCAAAGTTTCAAAACTGTTTTATGCGCCCTAAAACTTCTAAAATGTTTAAGAATTTTAAACTTTTGAAAATCCCTGGACCCTGGATTCACAGATCTCCAGGACCCCCCGACGATCAGGAAACCAGGGACCCCCAAAGTTTCAAAACCCTTTAAAGTTTTAAAAGTTTTAAAAGGTTTAGGCGCCCTAAAATTTTAAAAACTTTAAAGGACTTTAAAACGTTTGAAACTACCAGGGCCCTTGTTCCCCAGATTTCCATGATCCCCTGGCGATCAGGAAACCAGGAGGAGGATGAGGAGGAGGAGGAGGAGGAGCATGACCTGGAGGAGGACGACGAGCGGGCGGGGTCGACCGTGTCCTCACCCCCTGTCTGGTATGTGGTTGTGGTCGCCCGTACCCCCCCCTCCCTCCCCCCTCCCCCCCCCCCTCCCTCCCTCCCTCCCTCCCTCCCTCCTCCCTCCCTCCCCTCCCCTCCCCCCCTCCCCCCCCCCCCCCCCCTCCCTCCCTCCCCTCCCCTCCCCTCCCCTCCCTCCCCTCCCCTCCCCTCTCCCTCCCCTCTCCCTCCCTCCCCTCTCCCTCCCCTCTCCCTCCCCTCCCCTCTCCCTCCCCTCTCCCTCCCCTCCCTCTCCCTCCCCTCTC